TCCAATGAAATTTCTTATTGTTGCTTCTCTTAATTTATCCATAGTAGGGAAATATTTCCTTTTGCTATTTAACTTCTTGTGGGAAGTTAAATATCTACTGAATATGTTAAAAAGGCTCTAAATACAGTTTGACTGAGTTAAAAGATTTCTATTAAGTCCCTTGCCTGTTTTTCTTCAAGTCTGATAATCTTCCACTTGTTTTAAGATAAGTATTTTGGCATTTCATTGCAGAATTCAAAATACAGGCACAATTTTCCCCCCTTTCTTGGTGAGACACAGGTTATAACTTAGACTAAAATTCTTTCAATAGAAAAATTTTGTAGTGTGACCCTATTGGAAGGTGAGCTACAGCAGACCAAAAAGAGAATATTTTTTTGCTAGAAAACTTGTAGGAGCTAAATGGAAGAGCAGAGTTGTGTTCTGAACCATAAGCAAAATTACATATTGAAAAATCCATCTACTCAAGTCKGGAAACTACTAGTTAGCATTACTTGCTCAGCAATGAAAATTAAAAGTAACATGCCATTATGCATCAAATACATTAAAAGCAAGAAAGCAAAAACTGTGAACTGCACAGGGTATTTGTACAGGGTATTGGAAGAAAAAAAAGGAAAGTTGAAAGAAACCTTGAAAGAAGAAGTGAGAAAGAAAGTTCAAAACTGAGACTGCTCAGAAAGGTTTCTGTTTTTCTCTTTTCATTAACCTACAAAACAGACATGAAAGCAAATCTTAAGAGAAACTATTATTTTACCAGTGAATGSTTACAAAATTTTCACAAGCCTCAAAAAAATTCCTGTTTGTCCTTATCAATCCAACAATTCCACAATTTCTTTACCTAATTTAAATGCCTTAGACAAAGACATTAAATAAGTACATATACAGTTAGATATAATGTTTCTGGAAGATCAAATCCAATTTTTGGATAATCAGATCAAAGACATGTTATTATGTAATCAGTTGCATGAAATGAGATGGAAAGTTAAATTATTTATATGTCTTAAACACTACCTTCTGAAACTTGGGTTTGTCTTATAGTTTACATTTAAGGAAGACCAATGATACCCCATTGCCAAAATTCTTCTATACCTAAAATTCTCTCAAAAAGTTTGTTTTCTTCATCTATCAGGCAGATTAGCCACRAAGCTTCTTTTCCTACTGTCAGCCTAGAATCTTTATTTGATTTTGGCTTGTCTCAGCAGCCTTGCCACTCTCTCTGGGATGCTTCACAGGAGAGATTTTCCCTTGGAAAAATTAACTGTGATACTGTGGTTATTTCCCTCCCTTCTTGTACATTAGTTGAACGTACTTATAAAGCAACAATTGTTACCTGTATACTGTTCTTCACCTAGGGAGTTTTTAGAACACATAAGGAGCCTGGAAGTTTCATGAAACAGAAGATTTTACTAATACTGTGGTTGCTTTTGTTATTTAATAATATATTATATATAAATTTCTCTTAGTTGGCCTATTTACTGAAAGTTCAGAGACTATTTCTGCAAAATTTACAAGCCACTAGTGCAGAAGTTCATAATAATTATTGTGAGATTTCTTCTTAAAATCCCTAGCTGCAGCATTATTTTCAGATATGGACAAGTTTTGCCAAGAATTTGAGCATTAATCAGCATTTTTTGTGGGTGGATATAAAAAACAAAAGACTTTTGTAGGCGTAAACAGAAAAATCACATTTTTCTCTGAACAGCTGTATAATAGCCACTTTTAAAAGCTAAATAGTAAACACAGAAGGAAAGGGTTTCACACTAGAGAATGTAAGACAAAATATTTCTGGCTTCCATATTGTGGGAGTTATTATAGAGCAAAAAAAAAAAAAAAAAAAAAAAAAAAAAAAAAGCTAAGTAAAAATTGTCTGTGCACTTGGACAGCTGACACTTCAAGAAATAGGTTAGAAATCAGAAACCTTCTCAAAGCCATGCCAGTTGCCAGCCACTTAGGGATTTGAAGCTATTTGAGAAGAGAGTACACACAAATACTTTACGATCTACAGCTTGTCATATGTATATTTTGTAAAACATTTTTCTTAATAAATCTTTTGTGCCATGTGTCAAAATCAGAGTTGTTTTTAAACCCTGAAATCATATTCACCCTAAAGTTGATGTATCATTCCTATGCATATGTAATGTGTAATCATAATACGCAGTTGATAGTTAAAGGTAATATCTTTTATTGTCCAGTTATTATTGCTGAAAAACATTGACAAGCTTCTGAACACAGAAGCTTGCTTCATATCTGAAACAGACCAAGCATATTTCAAGCACAAAAAAAAGCTGAAACAAATTGCATAAACTATCAGAAATATAAAATCTTTGAGAAGAAAGATAACTGGCAGATACAGTTAGAGGAGACATTAGTGAAGAGTGGGAGAGCAAAAAATGAGATATTCTACTATGTGTGTTTTGCAACTACTTTGCAAAACYTGATTCAGTAACACCACATAAATGTGGATCAAGGATGTTTTTTATTGTGGAAATTGAAATTTTGAAAGAGTTACAAATTACACATTGCAAATACCAATGTAAGGAATATATTCTAAACCCTATCTCAATAAGACATAATGTGATGAAGATGTTTGAGCTTGTGAAACCTCCCATTTAAAAAAAAGAATCCCACATATTGTGTCTCTAGYATCTAAAGCGTTTGCCAAGACACAAGTACTTGTTACAGATTTTGGTTTTGATTTTCTGAAATTAGAACATTCAATAACAAAAAATCCAGTAATATTGTAAATTATAGATAGAGCATTAAAAAGAAATATTAAAGGAAATTTTATTTTCCTGTTGACAGAGAACATGAAAAAATGTCTTCTTCTTGGTCCTGTTTTTTGTTAATGGTTTTTGACCCCCTGGTCCCTTCYTACATCATACAGCTYTCTTGTTGCAATGAACAATTTGGCCTCTTTTTAAGGCTTGTCACCAGAATTTTGTAGTTGCTAYATTGCTGATTTCTGTTCTCAGTGACTTTTGGAACAGACTTCTTTTATCATTTCACAAGTATTGCTAGTAGTATGCTGAATGTCCTCACGAAATACAAATCAAATCAATTCAGGAATTTAGGTATCTTTTAATTCTTGTTATTTTATTTATTAATAATAATGTTATTTATTTTTGCTATTTAATTCCTTGGCATATTCATGGAATTATATAATCATAGAATCATTAAGGTTGGAAAAGACCATAAGGTCCAATTGTYAACCTAGCACCACTACCATGTTCACCGTTCAATCATTACCTCAGGTGCCATAGCCACACATTTTTGGGACMCTTCCATGGATGGCAACTCCAACACTTCCTTAGACAGTCTGTTCCAGTTCTTTACAACCCTTTCTGTGAAGAGATCTTTCCTAACATCTAATCTAAACCTTCCCTGSATTAACTTGAGGCCATTTCTCTGGGTTCATATTGGCTGTAAAGGCATCTGATAAAGACATTTTTTGTTGTGAAGCAAAAAGCCAATGAGAAAGAAATTACAGAGAAGCAAATAATATATGACACTGMGAAAACAGGAAATGTGGGTTTCTTTTGTTCCTTCCCCTGATTTCATTCACGAGTGAATGGGTATTATGCAATTGACCTTTTAGTGTCCTGTAAGAGATTAACCATCAGTGCGTGTGACACTATGTTAGTATGTTATTGGCACTATGTCAGCCAATGATGACATGCTCACAGCAAACGTAAAATACATTCAAGCAGCTGTTCCAGTTAATTTTGATTTATCATGAATTGATCTGTTTCAACATGAGAGATTGAAGACAGCAGCTAAGGTGGAGGAGAGTAGCTAAGACCAGGGTTCAGATCTACTCAGAGTTAAGCAAGGAGGAAAATGAACCATGGCCTCAAACAGAGAATGTCTGTGTGCTGCTTGCTGACTGTGGGATTTACTCAAGTGTAACATTCAGTTCTTGACTGCTTCAGTTCAGACTTCCACAGCTCAAGTGAGCATGTGACTTTTGGTCTGAAATCAATGGATAAGGGTTTTTTTGCTTAATCTGACAAATTTTATTTAGGATATTTGGAGCTTCAATTTGGTCTATGTGACAAAGTTGGTTAGGTGTGAAAAATCTTACCTGGATACCACCTAATCTCAMTGGAAAAACAGGGTAGCAGCTGAGTAGTGTTTTAAAGATGGAAGTGGATTCTTAAAGAGATGGATTGGTCTCCGAGTGATTTTGAGGATCATGTTCTGTTCAGAGAAAATGCATTGCTGTTGAGTCACTTCTCAACTGTGTTCAGAGCTTTGACAAGCCATAAACAAACTTCTGATTCTCCCTGGCTAGCCTGAATGAATATGGTAGAGTCCTATGGTAAAAGGAAAAAATGAAGAAAACTAGAATGCAAAATCCCTCACAAAATCCTTAGCTTGTTAAGATTAGCATACTTTGTATTTTAGGATTGGAWGGAGATTCCTATTAAAAATAAGAACATGGTTTCTCTACCTTTTCTCACAGTAGAACATCATGGAATTTCTTTGTAATTCTGCTTTGAAATTAATAGGAAATAAATTAGGTCAACATTCTTAAAATTGGGGAATTATATACAAATATTGAGATTTGTACTGTGCTGGATATTTGTTTCTTACAAGATTCTTTCTCTTATGTGTTGTTTTGAGTATCCAGGTGAATATACAATATCAATTTTTTCTGAAATTGGCAGAGTATTGTTCTTAAAATTACTAGTTTGATTCCTATGGGTAACTTGCAAAGTAAAGTGTATAAGCAAGAATATCAGAATCTGGTACTGACTTATCAAAAAGTGAAAATATATGGGAGTATATTCATTTGTAGTCTCTTCTTTAGATCTAATATTTCTGTATTTTAATATCTTGTCATAAAGCATATTTGGGATTCAATATATTCTGCGGTGATAAAAAATGAATTATTATTTACTAAACATGCCTTTRTAGGTGGTATGAATTATTGGTTGGCCTGATCACATTTTATTAGTACTGAAAAACTGCATTTATCTGTTTTTTTTATTTTGCATTTTCAGGTGGAGATTGAAAATCTGGACTATCATTACTTTCTGCCTTTGTTCTTTGATGGGCTTTGTGAAACAGAATTTCCATATGAGTTTTTTGCTCGTCAAGGAGTCCATGACCTTCTAGAGCATGGTGGAAATAAGATCCTTCCTGTTGTTCCTCAGCTCATTATCCCAATAAAAAGTAGGTGAACATGTAAGAGAAAAATCCATTAACTTGTATTTCTATGGTGTAAAATTTGAAAAGTTGTTAATTAAKCTTAAGACAAGACAGTCTGAACATTTAATGAAGATTGTTGCAAATGTGAGTAAATTTTMAGATATAAGGCCAGAAGGCTTTAGGCCTTCAATCACCTGATATGTGCAGTATTTCAGAGGAAGAGACTCTCTGGTTAGTGGTTTTTGTATTATGGGGTGGCTCTTGGTCTTTAGAAATGTGAAGTGACATTTTCTTAGCTGTTTTTATATACTGATTATGTAAATCCTCTACTATACAGAACAGTTCATCTAAAATTACAGGAGAAATCAACAGATGGCATTTAAAAATRTTACTTTTGAAGGTTTTATGTATTCAAACGTAGGTTTTTTTGTAGAAAAAAATTGTAAAATGTAATTAATTATTTTAACACAAATTTAATACCACTAAAATTCAAGTGCAGTACCACGAAAACTTTATTTTCTTGAACCACCTAGTSTTTCAGMTGTATTKTTTTGTCCCKTCCTATTTCTTTGGGTCATTACCTTGAAGAGCTATTTTTCTGAAGCATCATCCTTCTTTAGTTTGTTATTATGATGCTTAACTCTGCATGCTACATCTATACTAATAGATGCTCATGTTTGTTAAATTTGGCTACTCTTTTRTCATTAATCATTAATGGTATCATTGCTGTCCTTTGTCCTGTTCATGAGAGGGTTCAGCTTTAAATGCAGTTTGGAAAAAGGAAAATTAATGTAGTTTGGAGCCTGATAATACTGAAATAATAAGGATTGTTAGTATCAGAATTGTTAGTTTTTTATTCAAAGTTTTTTTTCTCAATTTAAAAAGATTGATTATAGATGTCAYTGTCTCTATCTTACTTTAGTTTTGAAAATGTCAAAAGGAATATATAATATTCAGAATGTTTACTCTGTGACACTTGAGAAAGGTTATGAAAACAATGTTACCATTTTTTCTCTCAAGGAAAATACATAAAGAAAGGAATGATATAATTTCTTTAGAAAAGTATATCCAACACCACCCAAATATATTTACAGCAGTATCATTTTTTTTGAAAGCTGAAATAATTTCTTCAAAAAAGACTGCAAGTTTATGACAGCRCCTACTCAGGATTTAAAAGTCTAGCTAGGATATAATTACGTGGAAACTTTATCTTTTACACAGCGTTTAGAATTAGAAAGACACTGCTAGGTAAGGGTATTTGTATGGGTTTGATATGTAGTCTTAAATCAAGTAATAATTTATGGTGCTGGAACACATTCAARAATCTGCTAGCTAAATTTAGTAGATGGTTCTGCTTTATTTTATTTTAAGGTTCTTACTTTTTTATTTTAAGAAGGCTTCTGTATCAGCTTTAGTATGTGAAGTCTAAGTATTATCAATGATTAAGGTTTCTTCCTAATTAAAACCATACTAATGTTAAAAAAAGAYACCATCATCTCCAGGAGTCTGAAARTATGTACTTTTAAGGGTTTTTWAATTTGCTGTGACTGTGTAATATAGCGGTGTAGTCATAGCTGTACATTTCTGTGACTCAGCTGCATCCACAATAAACTCAGCTATGTTTTACACAGATTACTGTCTCCAAAGTGTCCCTCTGGGTGAGTTATATCTGATTAACCAGTCTTTTTCTAGACCACTACAGTATTTCTACTGTGAAAGAGTGAATCAGTTGATTGTTAGGCAAGGTAATATAAATGATCCAGGGGAAAAGGCTAAAAGAAAGACAGAAAAACAACTCTACACATAGAATTCTTTTAAAGGCAGTTTTCTCTCCTGCATGCTCATCAATGGAATATATTAATAAAGACCTAAGTGTTCTCTAAAAACATTTTAAATTAAGTATTAGAATTCTGTATTATATTTTAATGATTTAAGAGGAAATTTGTCTTCCAGCCATCCTTGCTTAAAGTTCACACATTAAAGATGAAAATTATATTATTTAATCCATCTGTGGGTTATTGTAAGCCCAAATAATTTCAATTTTTTTTTTTCTGGTTAAACAGGCAGTGAGTAAGAAAAGACAGACACTTGAAATTAACAGGCCCAGGTTCTCTTGTAAGATACCAGAAATATGATTAAAATAATAAAAAAGAATGGTATTTAGTTGAAAAATAATTCTGTATTTTTGTTTGTCACACTGGAAGGGGCTTTTTTTTTGGAAATTCAGAGGAAGAAAAAAATCCCTCAGGTTGGGGGCATTAATTTCTCAGAGGGAAAAATGTTCAAAATAGATTTTATTTTGATTTCTCAAAATAAAAATCCAAAATATATTTATTGTATCTTGCACTGGAAAAACATTAGAAAATAGTTTATAAATATAGTCATTGCGTGCCATAAAACTCAGAAAAAACAAATTACCCGTATATGTCAAGCTTATAAGGAATCCAACTAAGAATAAATAAAATGCAAAATCAGAAAATAGGATTACTTAAGATATAGGGCATTTTACTCCCTTTCACAGAAGATGTAGGCATACCCATTGTCTRAATTATTTAAGCTCAGCAAAGATATATGAAGTGAGATATATGGCAAATATCAAAGTACTTTGCAGCAGTATCATGAAAGTTCTGATGCACAATACACAGCCAAATATCTTCTTTTCCAGAAAGTTCCTTATTGTTGTTTTCATATTGCAGACAGGTAAAAAAGTAGAAGAAGAAGGCTGATTTTGCTCCCCATCACAGGTTACATTGGTTGGCAGAGAGCTGAACAACCCAGCCACAGACCCCTGGGGTAGCAGGCAAAGATGTCTGTAGGTTACATGAGAGTTCCCTTATTTTTAGGAAGCAGAGGAATCTGTCTAGCCTTTCCATGATTTTCTGTGTGGTCATTATAGGAATGTAAAATTCCTTCTGATACCTCATTTTAGGGCAAATTATTGTTTTTAATATTACATTTACCAYAACGAATGTCAGATCAGAAAAGCCTTGTCCTTTTGCTTGCTCCCTTAAGACTTCTGCAGCTCTCAGATTCCTGACCTCAGAGTTCCCCAAAGTTCTCTGCATGAGACACACGTGCAGACATAAACACTGAGGGAGCCAGAAGTTTCTACACCTTTGTTTTTTATTTCCATGGGTAACATCAAGGGCATGCAACACAGTATGTGGAAGCATCTCCTTTCAGAGGCAATGAGCATGCCACCATTCACATTTGCTTTGCTGGCAATGTAGTTGTAGGAGTTTTCAACCCCTTATGCATAAAGTCACCAATTGTTCCAGCTCCCACACTCTGAGTTTTGCTAATGCAATTGTTYGTGGAGCAACTTAATGAATCTCTCATCTAGAGGTATTTAAAAAAAGAAAAAAAGGCAAAAGAACCCAAATCTAAAATGAATCTAAATATTTTCAGAGTGGCATTACTTTTCATGTCAGATCATTTCAACRGTCTAGTTTATCCATGCACCACCACTAATGAAGGAATAGTACACGACAGCACGGACAGTGGAGTGAATAGGTAGAAATTATCAATAGGAAGATCTGGATATAGCTCTGCTAATGAAGATAGTAATGTGAAATTAAACACTTAAGTATCTTGGATCATCCACTTTCCAGAATCTTTACTCTTCTGTGCTTTGAATCCTGAAACAGAAACATAGGCAATCTAAATTTAGGCCTAAAAGTCAGTGAAGCTCACACCTTTGCACTTGTAACTTAGAAGGAAGTATTGTTTCTACAGAGTTGCAGTCAGCAGACCAGTTCTGATTGAATCCAAAAAGAATCATCTCCATCCTAAGGAACACTGAAGTTTTCCTTTTTGGGGCGTACCTTTTGAGGCTTTTACCATGCTGTTAAAAATAGCTTCTGTGCTCCGGTAAATCAAGGGTACCTTAAACTATGTTGAAAATGTTTCATTAAGGAAACAGATTTTTTGCGAGTCAGGTCTAGAGAAATGAGCAGATCATTCCTCCCTCAGTGTCACCTACAGAGTCCTTTTTAACGTTTAAAAAACTTCCAAATTAAACTGATTTCTGTTTTCTTATTGTTCACATTCTGCTTGCATCTGATTTCTGTTTTCTTACTATTCCCATTCTATTTGCATGTGAAAAAGATTATGTTTTTATGGAATAAAAATATTATGTTTTACTGGTCTGCAGTTCTTTTTTTCCTGCAAGTCATGTAAGTTGATTTTTGTCACCAACAGAAAGTGAGTTAAAACCTCTAATGTAATTGTAATTTTCCTTCTGGCTGACTGTTGCTCTTGAGAACCACTTTTGGTTATTAAGTCATAGGTTGAAAAAGAACAGTAAACAAGCTTGCATTTATAGACTTAAAATGCTTTTAAAGAAAGCAAAGGTCTCTGATCTATTTTCTTTTAATTTTCTTGATACTCAAATACTRAAGTGTTTCCTCCTGCAGGTTTCATCAAGCAGTACAAGTGGTTGCAATTAGGTTTATGTTAGATTCATCTGCTCAAAACTGTTAATTTCAGGTATTTTCAAATGTTATCAAAAGTAGATTCTTTATTACTCATCTTTACTTCTGTCTGTGAGGAGAAACTGTGTTTTAATAGAGATAAATCTCATCCATGTTTGGAAAGTGAAATATGCAATTAGTATCTCTGACTTTTAAAGTTGCAGCTATTTTTCCTGAATTTTTAAATTGATTAATATTTATCATTATTAGTCATGAATTCATTTGCCATTTTATCACCCAGTTGTTCTGTACTATAAAGTCCTTTYACAGTTCTTCAGAGTCAGTCCTTGTCTTTGGCATCTGGAATAACTTGTTACCTACAGAAACCTGTCATCAGTAAAAAACTTCCAAAKCACCTAAATATCTAGTGAAGAATATCAACTTCATGGATTCCTGCAAGGATCTACTAGTGATATTTCTCCTCTGTGATCACTTATTGTTGCCTGTCTCTATTGTTCCTGTCTCTAAGCCATTATTTATTTGTATGCAAGCCATGGCAGTTCGCTGAGAGAACTTWCCAAATACCTTTTGAAAGTCTAATAAAACTGTATCATCACATTTTTCTTGTCCATGTTCTTCTTCAAGGATCTACAGTACMTTTAGAATGCTATTTTAAGTTGTGCAGTACAGATGCCAGTACGACTGGTCTTTGATTTCTCAGACCTTTTTTGTAAATGGCATCACATTTCATTGATAATAGACYTGTTTTTATCAGGGGGGTGGGTACTTGGTGCAGTTTTAGTGGCTTAGACAGCACAGAGGAAGAAATGTAAAACTAGGAATGAGGGGAAGCTGTAGACTGGCATAGTCACTGAGCAGTTTTTTGGGACTCTTCTATGTGTTTTTTACCCTATGCAATTAAACTGGGTCCACAAACATTAGTAAAATTCAAATTTTATAGGATGTGATCTAGTAAAATGCTACAATTACATGCACAMCTAAAGCTTAAAAAAGCCACTGACTTTCTATTCCATATTCTGCTAGATCATGTTTYTTGCAAGCATCCATGTTTCACTTATGGATCTTAGCCTTAGACTTTGGCTTTGCAAAAAAGTCTTCGATGATAAAATTGGCACAAGATTTTTGTGCCTTGTCCCCTATTTCTTCTTCCCATCATTTCACTATAACACATCACTCTTTCAGTTGTACAGGAAGAAATTTCTGTACATCTCTATTATTACTTGGGTCAGGCTCTTACTGGACTTCTAAAAAGTAGAAGGTTCCTATTCTGTTTTTATTCATTCTTGCTTAAATACTGTGTTTTGTAAAAGCATTCATTACTGTTCTATCAATTTAGTATAATATTGTTCTATAAGTACAGGTAGTTAAGTATTAGGCACTTTGAAAGTTTTGGACAACGTTTTGTAAGAGAAGTATATATCACTTTAATCAATTGTGTTTTGAGAACACTTCATGTTAGGAGTTCTTTAAACCCGAACTCTTCCCGAATTTAGAAGAAGATTAAGTAGATCACAACAGTCAAAGTATTTTTATCCTGAGAGCTTTTTACCCCACAGAATACCTCCACTATGAATCTTCAGGCAAAGAATTTTCTAAAACAGTTGCCTGATTTACCAATTAAGTGACAGATATGAATGAAAACCAAATTGGTTTTAATGTTTGGTTGTCAGACCTAAGTAGAAAATGAAAACCGTTGGGGCATTTCTAAGCATAGATTCACAGATGTAATTGAAAAAGGAGCTGAATACAATTGAATTATCAACATAACTTTTAATGTAACAACCAAAATCCATAGGTAGTATTTAGAGAAGAGAYGGAAGTTTGGGGAAACTGATTTGATTCTGTAAAGTTCAGGCTAACAGTGTGCTGTCTGGGAGAGAATGTTCTGRTTGGATCCCTTCTGTGGAACTACATTGTGTCATGAAAAAGATCCACTGTGTTCTGGGAGAAATGCTGTCATGTGTTCTGGCTTGTAAAATTTATCACTCTCATCAGATGAGAACTGTGGCTTCTATTATAGACAATATCTGGGACTGAAATAGGATTTTCCAAACTGCCRTATAAAAATAAGAAATAAAAATAAAAAAATATCAATATATAACTTGTAGGTAATTTCTTTAAGATATTAGAAGTGTTACTCAAAGACTTGAATGTTTTMAAGTAATAATTTCTATTGCTTTATATGTAAACATCTAGCTAAATGGATAAGCAAACAAGTAGCATGTATCTTAAGGAAAGTTTCTGATCTTAATGGAAATTAATAAAACAAATACTAAATTTACATGAATTGCCAATGAAATGTATCTGAAATTAGGAATACAGTGAATTGGAATTGGAGTCACTGGGTGCAGGATGCCACTTTGAGGGACAGTGCAAGTGAGGTCCTTCAGTTTTATGTTTTGGTAGAAGTAGGGGTGRAGATCCATGTGGGTGATGTGGCAGCTGGAGGCTGTCTTGGGCACAGTGTTAATGTAATGATAGAGTTTTCAAGTATCAGAGAAAGGAGGAGAGATGTCAGCAGAACTGCTGCCTTGGACTTAGAGAGGGCAGACTTTGGCCTGTTTAGGAGCATGTTTGACAGAGACCCTTGGGAGGCAGTCCTGAAGGGTGATGGGGTCCAGGAAGGCTGGATGTTCTTTAAGGAGGAAATGTTAAAGGTTCAGGAACAAAATGTCCCCATGTGCTGCAAGATGATCCAGCAGATGGGACTGACTGAACAGAGACACTTGTCAGGAACTCGGGGAAAAAAGGAGTTTATCACCACTGGAAGAAAGGGCAGGCAACTGAGGAAGACTAAAAGATTGTCATAAGCTTATGCAGGGAGAAATTTGGAAGTCCCAAACCCCAAGTAAAACTTAAYCAGGCTATTGCCATAAAATATAATAAAAAAATGTTTTTATATATCAGAAGCAAGAGGAGGGCTAAGGAGAATCTGTCTCCATCTTTTACTGGTTGTTGGGGGAAGCATCATGAAAAAGAATGAGGAAAAGGCTGAGATACTTAATGCATTCTTTGCTTCCATCTTTAGTTGTAAGACCAGTTATTCTCAGAATACCCAGAATAGCCCTGAGCTGGAGATAGGGATGGRGAGCAGAATGAAGCCACTATAATCCGAGGAGAAATGGTCAGGTACCTGCTACTCCACTTGGACAGAAACACGTCTATGGCATCAGTTGGGATCCATCCCATAGTTCTTCCAACAAATATTTGCACAGTCACTTCCACTCACATGACATACTTGGCATGCCTAAAAATAAGGTTTCTCATCCTCTAGGACAGCTTCTACAGCCCAGAAGTACTGTTCCTGGAAGGGGGTACAATTTGTTTGTCAAGGATTAAGAAGCAGGGGTTTCTGTCAATGGTTAATTTTTATATCCCTTAATTAATTATTAGTGTATGCACAAATAATTAATTTTATTAATTGGTAATAATTAATTCATAACAATAAATATAAATATTCATTTATGCTCATATGCATGACATAACTATTGTACTGAAAATTGAAAGTGTTAGTGATAATTTCCCTATTAGTTCAGTTAGCTATTATTTATGTGTATGACAAGTTAATAGTAAATAAATTTATGTGTTGGAAACTTCCTCTTCAGTCACTCTTCTGTGAAAATGAATGATGTCTGTTTCTCTCTAGAAGAGTGTTTTCCTATATGAGACTCAGACCCCATCTTTAAAATTGCATCTGGGCGTCTCTCTTTGCCAAAGCAGCCTTGGAACATCGATCCACAAAAGCGTAATTTGGAATAGCCAGACTCTTTGCTGGAATTTAGTGTGAGCATGCTGCATTGCTGGGCTTCCTGTCCACACATTATTGTGCTCAGAGACAATATGAAATTAAATACAGCCTGGTGACTACAATAGGGACTAGCAAATAAGAAATATGGAATTCAGTCTGTATTTTTGTTTACCAGTACTTCTTTAACTTGGATGATGTGCAATAGTACCTTTATACCTTGRGCTTTCTGTTTTCTAACAGTAGGTTCAGTATACTGTTCACAAGCATGCCAAGAGGTATGAAGGGAGAATATTTACTAGTTGATTTTTGAGAATTGTCTCTGCCCATTCACAAACCAATCTGCCCTTGCTTCAGAGATCTAGCTCTGATTTTTAACTCAGCAGGCATGCAATAAGAAGCAGAAGCAGGCAGATACAGTGCATTTGCTTAAAGAGATGGAAAAAACTGATGTTGCTCCTATGTGAAAATACTACTTCATTCCCGATGAAATGGCATTCCTGTGCACTGAATAACTCAGCACTGGAAATACTGAATCATTGAATTGTAGAATCATAGAATGGTTTTGGTTGCAAAGGGCCTTTAAAGATCATTTAGTTCCAACACCTCTGCAATGGGTCGGGACATCTTTGATCCTATTTGATTTGAAGAGGCAGTTCTTGAAGAAGTTGTYAGCAATTCCTCTTCAAATTTCTTTGTGTTCTGTGCTACAGTTTTTTCTAAATGCTTATACTTTGTTTTGGTATCTTGAAGCACATATTTAAATATTTCTGTTTTTTTAAAACATGGTAATGAATATGAGCTTATCTTTTTCAGTTCTGTCCTGGTGCAATGATGTAGAGGTCCATTTAAGTGGGCGGGACACTGGAGAATTAGACCGATATATAAGAGCATACCAAATTTGATAACTGATTCCAGCTACATAATTTCAGATATGCTTTTATAAATAGATGGATTTTGCAAGGGAAAAAAATGTATTTCAAGCATGACTCATTTTTAATTACGAGAGAGAATGCAAAGTACTTGCTTTTAGTAAAATTAAAAGAGGAGAAACAAAAGGTATTTATGAAATGTCTTAGTGTCATAAGATTAGAAGCATGACACTGAAAGCTAAGAGAAAAACCTAAGTAGGYTAGACAAAATCTTTTTTTTCCCCTAGAATGTTTTCTTTTGAAAAAAGCCTACAAGGTTTTTTTGTGGGTTTTTTTTCCCTATAACATTTGCTTCATTGTACTGATTCTCAGAATAGTAGGAATTGTCAGTTGAATGAATAAAATGATCATGAAATAAATGAGTACAAACATACAAACACTAATTGTTGCACTAGAATGTATCTGTTGTCAACCTTTGCAGGTTGTCCTGCAGTTGCATGGTTCCATTGGCCCCAAGTGGTACTTACTGAACATTTATTTTTCATTTGTTTGGACCACGCCAGTATTATACTGGCAGCATGAGGGAATAATGAGTTGCATTCTTTGGGTTACTGAAGAGTCAGCACAAATTGTGGGAACAAATAACAATCAGACAAGGCAGTGTTTTATAWCATCAGGACTGCAATCCATCTTTGGGATCTTTCAAAGCTGGGCTAATAAAGGCCCGCTTACAATTCCCTACAGAGTATAGTTTAATTAAATTTGTCCATTAGAGGACTCCTCCCCCTCCCTCTACATTTTAGAAATTAATTCTGCTTTCTGCCTGTTGTTCTTTTTGCATCACAGATGCACTGAACCTTCGTAACCGACAGATCATGTGCACCACACTGAAAGTCATCCAGCACCTGGTGGTGTCAGCTGAAATGGTGGGGGAGGCCTTGGTGCCCTATTATCGGCAAATTCTCCCCGTTCTAAGCATCTATAAGGATAAGGATGGTGAGTTATCCTAACAGACACTGTGTCTTTCGACTCCTAAGGCAAAAAGGGGCTTGAGGCAGGGTTAATTAACAATGTAGTTAAGATTTATTACTGTATATAAACTCAAATCCATTTGGAGCTCTAAATAATGTAAACTCCCCCTCTTACTATCCCCTAAGGATGCACTGAAATTAACAATTTCATTTATAACTCCTTGCACGTACAGTTTATTTAACACAGTACAGAAGCACTGAAGCAGCTCTATAATCTTCCAATAATTAAATTGTAAAGTTTTGTAACAGTCTTTTGAATACATTAATAAATTGCAAAGGTCTATTCCTCCCTCAAACACATTCGTTTAGTCCAGCTGTTTTATTCCATTTTGTGCTCTCCACAAGCARTTTGCTGCTACCAGAAGGTTTAGGAAAGAATAAAAATAAAAGTAGAGATCAAACTAATTAATTTGAGGGTCGAGAGAACTCCTTGTTGTAAAAGAATTTCAAGTTAGAAACAGTGAAATTTGAAGTTATTGTTGCACACTTAGCAGGTTTTATTACAGAGCAATTTAGAACTAATTTATATCTACTCTTTGTAGTGCAGATCTTGACAGTTTCAGTCTTTAATAACTGATCCTATGAGTTCTGTATACTGTGAATACATTTACACCACAGTCACCAGCTGAAATCAACATGATGTATATTCCTTTAGCCAAACTAATCTTTAAAGTATTTTTCTGTAGTAAATCTATCTGTACTTATTTTCAATTATCTACAAAGTTACTGACTTTAAAATTTCTGTTATTGACTTGCAGCCATATAGATGAAAAGAAAGTAATTCCTCAAAAGCTTTCAAAAGAGGGTTTTCATGAAATTCATGGCATTTTAATAGTTCTCTCCAGGATTCCTTTCTATTATACTTTCTGTTTGCATTACTACAGAATACTCACTCTTTATTGAGTATAAGATTCAAATCAGATTGAAAAATGCCTGTTCAGAGACTGGCTTGAAGGCACAAATGAAATTTACAYTTTAGATCCCTTTAAATACATGTATGTCCCTGACTTTGCTTTACTTAGTGAGAAACATGCAGTAACATGGAATTCCACAAGTGCAACTTATTTCTGATGACAGCTGTGACTTTCCAGAAGTTGTGGGATGAAAGGTAATAAGTGAAATCTGTAGGCTAAAGTTAAACAATTTCAGTAGGGCTCCTTATGGATTGGAAGATTCCCCCCTAACAGATCTAATTTCAGTATGTGGCAACAAACAAGACTGTAAAAAGGACTCTCATTGATGAATGAATATATCACATATATTTTTTTCCAAATTTCAACCTGAGAAGCCCATGACTTCTCTTGACTGGGCTTTTCAACAGTGATTTCAGATGAATAATAGGGAAAGCTCACGTGTAGCCAGGTACATACCTTAGCAAGGCATTAAACACATCCATATCTTCAGTTTTGATTGTTTTGTGAGCAAAATAAAACATATTTTCAACATATTTGTGTGAGATCTGTGCTCTGTGAATTTGTGCCTATGTAAAAATACACTAAATCATATTTGACATTTAAGAACTAAACCCCCAAGAATAAATGAAAAGTAATAGTCCAAATTAATTGATTTTATTAAGTCATTACTTCCTTTAAAAAAAACAAATTGAAATTTTAGTATTACCAGAAAGATATCGATACTATTTGCAAAGCTTACCATAGGAAACTGTTCAACTAATTCAGTACATTTTATCTGGGTTTTAGGGAATATCTCTGTCTCCTCCTTCCACAAAAAGATTATATTTCATTCCTCCTTCACTGGTGGTTGACAGAAAATGCAGGGTTCTTTCCTCCTCTTTCTRGCTCACATAAGCTAATAGGCAGGAATGGCAGAGGCTGATCTGGCCTGCTTTCCTCACTGTTTATTGGTACAGGTGAAAGATGGGGTAAGTGAGGTGTAAATTCTTGTTCCTTTTTTCTATATAGCTTGTGAAAATAAGAACTGTGTTCCATCTTCCAGGACTTGTATGATTTGCAGTCTGTGTGTGATGTGAAGCTCTGGGACTCCCAGCACGAAATTCTTTAGATACAGAAGGTTTTCATGAGTTCAGTGGAGGCTCAGAAATGTCATATAAAATTCTATTGCTTSTTTAATAAAACGTGTCAATGCTATTGGTAATTTTTGTAAATTATCAAAAGAGAGAGTATTGATGAAAAATAAATTAAAAGTTTTAATCACCAAAAACATACAAATACAATAAATTTGTTCTTTTATGAAAGAAGACAGAAGAGAAAAATAAAACAGAAAAAAGGGGAAAAAGGAGTCTTCAGAGCCTGGAACATGCGATTAAGGTGCATTTATGCCAGAATGATACCTGAAACAGAAACTTATTCATTAGAAGGATTAGAGAGTTAGGAACAGCAATATTCTTCTGTTTGATTTACCTGTCTGGGAAATAAAAAATTCATTTATTTAGTTTAATAGCTATTTTCATGTTATCAATTTATATTATTCAGTAGTGATCAAGARCAGTTTTGCAGATAAAATAGAGTTAGAGGAAAACAAAATATTATTAGGATTTACATGCCTCAAAGAGAGAAGTGTGGGGTGGCATGGCACTGTGGAAGGTACCTCTTCAGCATGGTAATTGCATCTGTGATGTGTGTCAGTCACTGTGAGGCAAACAGTGGAAAAAGGGGAAGACTGAAACCTAAGTTTCTTTTGAGTGCAATAAAAATGCCTTGACACTATCAATAACTTAAAACTAGCRTCAGCTTTGGACAGTCTCTCCCTGTGTAGCCAGTCCTTGAAAATAAAATTTTAGAGGTATGTCTGAGAATACCTGATGTAGCATTCAACCAGGTCTGAAGCCACAAAGCAGAATTATACTGCATGCTTTGTAGCACCTGAGCTTCACTYGGGRAAAGTCATTCTCTTGTCTGAAAGGTACTTCACTTACTTTGGAGAACTCTATTTTTACAAAATGCAATAACACTACATAGATTCTAAAGTAAAAAAGCAGGATCCAAGTGTTAAATGACAAAAGCAAAAGACTGTGCCTAGAGGTACATGTCCTCCCTGTGTTGGAGTTCAGGTATTTTCAGAACTGCCTGTGCATTCCAGAGGCAGTGATGCTCCTCCAAGTGGTTCATGGTCAGTAGTAAGAAGCAGCAATTTTCCTTTAATGTGATTGAATGTGCTCTAATGAAACATGCCTTGTCCAGAAGATTTCAAATGTTTGCTTCTTCCACTGGGAAATACAGAGGTCCTTTCAAAAGTCAGACCTGTTTTAAAATACTTTGCATTTTGCTAACTTTGTGTTCAGAAATCATGTTTCAGATTAAAAAACTCACCCAAAAACCAAAAAAAATGTTCTTGAACATCAGTGTCTGTGATGCAAAGTATTTGAGGTTCTCTTAATTTCTCATATGAACTTTGAGATTTCATTTATTCTCAGACAGCTTTTCTCAGTTTCAGTGCTACTATCTTTAACTTTTTTTTCCTTTTAATCTGAAAATGGAGACTCACAGAGAATTGATTCATGGTTGAAACTTGCATAAAAACCATCTAATGCCACAAGATTATTGATAAAATAAGCCATGTTAATATGCTAGTGACATAAACTGTATTCTACATCGAGGTTTCAAATTGTTCTTGTGCTTTGACACTTATTCATTTTATTCCTATGCATCATTTGCCAGATTTTATTATTTCTACACTTTCTTTGAATTCCATCAGTTATAATTTCTGAAATTTCAAAACAAAGATTCTGTTGTGGCTTTAAGGATACACAGTTCAAAGGAATAAGATGCCCATGGTGACACAGATCTGAGTGAAAAAATTATTTTTGATACATTTTCTGGGATTTTTTTACTATATACCTTCAGTACAAGAGGATTCAGAGTGTTCTGATTCATCAACATTTAATGAAAAATATTGTGCTTTTCCCAGAATGGAATCTGCCTGTAAATTACCTTTTTAAGCAGATAAAGACAGATTGATTTCTCTCCAAAAAATGTTATTACCATACTGGTGAGAAGCAAAATATATTTTTGTCATTCCCAACTGTGATTAATGATATTATTTCAACAGGCTTTCTATGAATTATGGTTCTAAGGATATTTATTTAACAAATATTCTTCAATGTTTTTAAGGACATCAAAGCATTTCTCATCTGTGAGATCCACTGATGGTCTTTTAATGGTATTTTTCAAAAATGTCTCTTTTTTGGTCGAGAATCACATCTTGAAAATAGAAGTCTCACAAAATAATGCTTTATATTTTAATTGAGAAAGTAGAAAAGTAATCCTCAACCATAATCAGCTGTTGTCTCACCTTTTTTTGCACTGATCAATCTCATTTTATTTCAATGATCACTCTTGCATATGGAGCTACAAAAGCTCATTGGAACTCTGAAGTACAGAAATTAGAAATTATTAAGATCCACCTGTATTAGAACATTTGGTGCTTTAAATACAAAGCACATGATTTAAAGCTGATTATATAGTAAGCGTCTAATGTATAGTCAAAATTCTGTCAGGTACATTCTAACACATTGAGAGAATCATCACACTTAGATATAATTGCTGGGTAATTTCTAATTACTATCTAATTTCTTAGCTGAAAATACAGCACCAGTCTGTGCAAAATAAAACCRATTCAGCTGTGATTAAATTGAAGCTATTCACACTTAGCACTTACTTTTAATATGTTAATAGTCTAATTAATTCAGCATCTTGAATTTTTGATAAAAGAAAAATTAAAAACTTCCCGTGTCAGAGGGTGATACATTACATCCAATATTTTCTTTGTCTCTTTTTAGTTTTTAATTTTTTGGGTATTGTGACTCAAGGAAACGAGAGTTGTCTCTTGAATGACAAACCGCGTATGTGTGAGTTGGGACTTCTGAATTCATAGAAAACTCATGGACAAGTAAAATAGTGGAAACATTAAATTCATCCTGTGCTTCAGTAGAAACATCTGCAAAATGGATATAACCTGAAAGGGCTTGTAGGCCTTAATCRACAT